TTTGCCCTGTCTCAGCCAATTCTATACTCGAGGGTCACATGCAATCCCCAACTCTAGATGCCAGTTTCTACGTCAGGACTCTCCCCAGGGGGAGTTACAGAAAGCCCGGCCCACATCAGCTTAGGCAAAAAATAAATTCATTGGCTCGTGTAACTGAAAGTTCAGGGTGGAGAGGGAGGGCTCGAGGTACAGCCGGAACCAGACTCTCAAGCTGTGTCATCAGACAGGCACCATCTCTCGCCGTAGTTTGGCTCGGCTCCTCTTCATCACAGCTTCGTTCTCAGATTCCACACGACGGAAAGTGCCTCAGGCCTGCATCTCCCCAGTTGCAAGTTCAGCAGAAGGAAGAGAGCTTCTCTTCCCTTAAGAGTTCAAATAAAGTCCTGGCCCTGACTGGCATGGCCTCCCCTGCCCACCCCACCCCCAGTCACGTGTCCATCACTGAACCAATCACTGTGGTAAGGTCTGGATCGTGTGTCCAAGCCTGGAGCTGGGGTCAGGGTCATCCCCACCCCAATCACAGGACAGAATGGGGAAGAGACAATTCTTCAAAGAAAATGCAGGCTTCTATTACAAGAAGAAAGAGGAAAGTTTGCTGGGGAGAAAAAACAGTAAATATTTGCCACATATTCAATGGAATAGTATGCAGCCATTTAAAAAGAATAAAGTAAATTTGTATGTCCTGATTTGGAACAATCTCCAAGACAAATTAAAGTAGAAGAAAGCAAGGTACAGAAGAGTATGTATAGTGTGCCTATTTGTGTCCACCAAAAGATGTGTGTGAGGGTGTGTGTATGTGTGTGCTTGTATATGCGTGAAGATTTGGGAGAGAATATACAAGAAACAGTTAACAGTACAGTGGATCTGGGGGTGCGGGGTGGAAGGAAGACTCATTTTTGGTCTTCTATCCTTCTGAATGTTTAACTGAGTACGTGTGCATTTTCATTACACATCGACCTACCAGGCCCCATCTTTACGTTGTGTTTGGTGCACCTGTGTTGGAATTTTTACCTCACACAGTCTGGGGACGATCACTGGGTGCACGGAATCTATGACCCGGCTGAGATTTTGACTGAGGGGCAGTTGCCTGGGATAGCACAGCCCCGGGGCCCCAGACCAGGAACTGGGCAAAGCAGAGCCGCCTGTCATGTTTCCGTGGTCAGAGCAAGAGGCTGGGGAGCCCTTCAGAGGGAAAGGGAGCATAGGGCTCAGCTCTGAGAGCTCAAGGTGGGGCCTTTCCACCTTTTACAGAAATAAAGAGAGCACTGGCATCTGGGTGGGCCTAGGTTTGGGGTCCAGAGGGTCTTTGGAGGGATCTCAGGGCAGCTGCAAGCCCACTTAGGTCCCCCTTTGGTACCTTGTCCCCAAAGATTACCGCAGAAGTGCTTCATTTTGCTTTGAGCATGAACACCGCTTACCGTTATTTATCTCAGGTGATTAACATTTATATCTAGTTACCATGTGGCAGATTCTACAAATCGCTAAGACATGTCAGATCAACTCTATGGTGTGATTTCTGGGTCCAGAAATGCGTCTTCTCCTGTATGTTAAGACTTCATCAGGTACTGCTCAGGTGGCCGGGCCATCTGCTCACAACTTTACAAAATGAGGAGCCCGGGAGCCAACCCTGGACTCATCACCCAGGAATTGCCAGCCACATTCACGAACACCCCATTTCCCCAAGATACATGAAAATCAGGCCGACAGGGTTCAACAAGTTTTTCTTCCTTCGACAAATTCATTAACAACTAGTGAGCATTAACTACATGCTGGGTGCTGTGCCAAGAATATAGAGGTCACTGATGTACCCAGCCCCAGCCCTCAGAGCTTCATGGCAAGGGCCCCAGTGGTGGCTGGAAGCTGAGCCTCTTGGTCTCTCCTTCTCTTTAGAAGCTCCTAAGTGAGAGACCCCCAGGCCTTGTCACCACAAAGGTGAGTGCCCTGGCTACCAGCTCGGAGAGTGAGAGGGCAGCTATGTTTAGCGTTTCCTGATGGAACCAAAATCTGCAGCCAAGAAAAGCTGGTCCTGGCCGAAAGAAAGATTGACTTTTGGATGAGAACGATGTCTTCAACAATAATTCTGCCAAAAACCACTGTCTCAGGCATTAGCCTCTCCCTGGAGGGTAAGAGGAACCTGCAAGCGACAGAAAATTCACCTCACACAGGCTGAGGAAAAAAACCAAATCTGATTTTGTATTTTTTTCTAAAATGACAAAAAATAAACACAAATTTTCTTATTACAAAACTCATACATAGGCTGTTTTCATGCAAACAACATATAAAATTTTAAAACAACTTTTCCTTAGAATTTGGCATACTATGTATGATTGTAAGCACTTTTTAATATATGTAAAATAAATACTTATGATTTTTTTTTTTTACAAAAGTGGAGTTAATACATTCTGCAACTTGCTCTTAGGCTATTTCATATAGCTCTACTGCATTCCTTTTTAACATTTATATAGAATTACATAGTACGGAGGTACCATAATTATTATTACTTCATTATTCTCCTGTTGATGGATATTTCAATTGTTTTTAATTTTGTAATAGTACAAACGATGCTGCACTGAACATTCTAGCACATATACTTTTGTGCCCTTATAGAAGTGTTTCTGCGGAAGAAAATTCTAGAAGTGGAATTATTAGGTCAAAAGTTCTCTGAAACGGTTCAACTTGATTTTGAAGTAAAGAATACTGTGTAAGTGAACACTCTGCAGACCAGAGAGTTATAAAATAATACACAAGATTAATTATTTAGAGCGAGCTGTAAAATGTGCCTGTGGGTATGCTCTGGGCTGTTGGGCAGACCTGGTCAGAAATGTTCCAGTGAGTTCCCTCACTAGGACAGGAATTCAGCAGAGCAGGATTCCTGAGTTGGTATCTCCCTGATCCCACTGACATGAACGTGTGAGGAGTTTTGATGGCAGCAGCAGGATTAGTCATGGACTGAACACACAGTTAGCCATAGATGGTGATGGATCACACAGGAGCATGAGAAACCCTCAGACTAGAAAGTACTGTTTTGGAGAAAGAACAGCGCCCCCAAGAGGCATTTGGCTGTCAGCACCTGTCCTCATAGCCCCAGCTGATCCTCTGCCTGTTTGGACAATAAACTGGGGTCAGTTTCTCATTTATTCTTAAACTTACCCAGTAAATATTTGTTATCGAAATCTCTTCTTAAATAAATTAATACGATATAACACAATAAGACTCTGGGTAAGTCTCAGAGAGTCTGAGTAAGTCTTAGTGTTCTCATTTGGTGAGTGACCAGAGGCCCGTGATATGCAGTGATGCATAGATTTTCCCACAATGGTGTGGGAGCCACTCCCTTATCAAGTCCCTGGGCCTCACCAGCTGGCCAGCGTCCACCTCCCAGGGCAGTTTGGTTGTTGTCGCCACATTACTGAACATGCAGCGATGCTCCCCAGTGATAGAAACTGACACAATTGTTTAAAAACAGTCATAAGGTAAAAAATAGAACATTAGTAGACCAGGAAACGATGGTTAACTGGTAGTCTAAGAACGAGTACAGGAACAACTCTGGACTGAGATTTTTTTTAAGGAGCAACTCAGGAGCCAAATAAACACTCCCATATTCCAGGCTTTCTCACCTTCTGCAAGGTTGACATTTTGGTCCGGATGATTCTTTGTTATGAGGGGCTGTCCTGGGTATTGTAGGATGTTTAGCAGTGTCTATCCACTAGATGCCACTAGCAACCCCCTAAACCCAGCTGTGACAGTCATCAATGTTTCTAGAACCACTGCCGCATTTGAACATTTGGAGATTCAAAATCTTGGGGAGTATCTCTCTTGAAGGCCAAGCAGCTGCTGTGGACCCTGCCCCCAACCACAGGAACCACTTTGGACTTTTCCTAATCGATTTCCCTCATCCAGACCAGAAGCCTGAATTCAGCTACCATGGGGCAGGGTGAATAGCCCACAGGGAAGGGAGTGGCCCCTGGGGATGGGAAGCCCCTCAAACAAGAAACCCATAACTTGGTTTCTGGAGCAGCAGTGTGTGCTGGCAGCGAATCTTTCCAGAAAACTGGAGGCTCTGGCACTGTCCTGCCCAGAGAGAGACTGAGAAATGCCTGGTGAGGGGGCCGGTTGGAGAATTGCAGTCATCTTCATGTGCTCCCCAAGTATTTACCGAGCACCTGCTCCTGGATGGTATGCTATAGTGGGGGGAGAGGGGTTGACAATAAGCCTGTTAGGTGGGGACATTTGCTGTGACAAGGCATGACAAGGAGAGAGGGCAATGACTGTTGGGAGGGGGAGCTGTTCCAGACGCGGGGGTCGGGGCCCATCATCTCTCCGATTGAATAACTTTCAACCTGAAAGACAGGAAGGCACGAGCATCTCATTTAGCCCCAAATTCCCTGAATCCGACGGCAAATGCATCTGGCAATACGGCACAGGCTAATTTCAGCCTAGTCGGGCTGTTAATTTACCACATGCTCTTGAGCAAATGGCCTTCTTCCCCTAAGCTTCAGTTCCCCATCCACCTGCTGGAGCTGTTTCAGGGCCGAAATGACGCAGACGTAGAACATATACTGTGAATAAATGTATAGGATGAAGATTAGAAACTTGTCTGCGGTTGTTACTTTCGAAACATGCCCAGACATTAAGGAACATTTTAGGAGCTACAAAGCACAGTAGATTTTTTTTTTCTCACATTCTACGCTTCAGTTAAGTAGGTGTCCAAAGCGGTAAGAAAAAGCACTGTTTCCTCTAGCGCTAAAACTGCTTTCCTCTCGAATGGGATAAAAATACACACAGCCTTTGTGAACATCTTTATTTCCCCTGGTTTGGCTTTGGGAACGACGGGAGAAAGTTTCTCTGAAGCCCCGCCCATCCCTTCCTTTTGCTGTTTATAACCCGCAGGGGACGCCGCTGGCCCCGGGGAGCCTCGACCCTGGAGTCCTGGGCAGACGCATGACATCCGAACCCCTCATATTTGCGGGGCAAAGTGACTTCACATCAAGCGTGAGGTCTAATCGGGCCGTAGAGAATTCGCTCACAACGGCCGTTTCTCTGCCTTAGACTCATCGATACTCAAACCCTTTGATTTGGGTGCCGTGATATGCGTGACTGTGAAGCGATTCCACAAGCTTCCAAACTCACTGCAGGGCTGTTATTATTATTGTTGTTGTTGTTCAATTGTACACGCTGTGAGCACACAGAGCCGCTCCGGTCGTCCGAGGAAACGGCTCCGCGCTCGGAGGGTGCGGCTCGCGCGCAGCCCCCGCGGGCGGGCGCCACGCGGCCGTGGCCTGGAGCCGGGGTCTGTGCCCCGGAGCCCCTGCTCGGCCGTCCTGGGTTCTCCCTCCCTCTCTCAGGGCTCACCTCCTTGCCCCGAGACGGTGCTCCACCTAAAAGCAGCATTTGGGGGACAAAGCAGGCAGACGAGGCACGGGCGCAGGGCCGCTCGCCGTGTGCGCTCGGCTCGGGGAGCCGGGGAGCCCCGCCGGGGGGCGCGCGCGCGGGCAGGGCCGGGGCGGGGGAGGGGTCGCCAGCAGCGCCGCGCCCCGAGCCCCGAGCCCCCGGCCGGCCGCGAGAGCGGGCGCCGTCCTCGCTCCGGGGAGAGGCGGGGGTCTGCCTTCCCCAGACCCCACAGGCAGCTGAGCGGGGCGAGCGGCTTCCAGCGACGTCCTGCTTTACCTTTACGCAGGGTCGCCATCTAGTGACAACAAGGGTGTCCTGCTTTGTTCTAGCGGAAGATGGCCAACGCTGCAACTTCGGAACGTTCTGGTTTGTGCGGGAAAGCTCGATGGTGGGGGATAAACCCAGTTCCAGGCCCTACTGGGGGAGGATGATTGGCAGCCCTTTCCTCCCCTCAACACGCGGTCTGGGGCCATCTCCGCAGAGGACGGCGGGCCTGGCCTCCTGTTGACAGTGCTCTTGTTCCGGAAAAGGGGAGGCCTGAGAGGTTGGCGCTGAGAGCCGACATTCGACCTAAGGGCTGTCTGGAAGTAAGCCTCGCTGAGGGCACCCGACTATTTTGGGGAGAAGGAAAGGTGTTCAGGGAGACAAGTGTCCCAGCAGAAGTTGCACCGTGGCTAAGATCCCGGAACAGGCCTGCCTCTTGCCCTCCCAGTGCACCTCCAGATACAGACTGAAGATAGCGCAGGGCACAGGGCAGGACTCCCAGGTTCCTGGCATGGTCTCCCCTAGAGCTACTCTGCCTTGCCATTCCCACCTGCTCCAGGCACAGACCCAGAGGCAAGTGTGTTCTGCAGCTCAGTGAGCATTCAGGTGTTAGACATCCCCTTTTCTTTCCTAGAGGTTTTCTTCCAGCCCCCTGCTTGGCTTCATGGAAGGAAAGCACCAGCCCCATTAAGGGAATGGCCTCTCTCTATAAGCACTGTACTCCCAGAGGCTGACGACCTCCTTCCCTCCCTGTGGGGCTGTAGTGAGGGGGTTTGGGGGAGAGGAGGAAAGAAAGTTCTCAACAGGCACCATTCAGTAGCCCTGTGGATAGGCTTGGCCTGACTGCCGAGGTTCCCTGGACTTAGAATGTACGCTTATCCACAGCTTTGGGCCTTCACTGCCATTCTTGGGCAACAGGACAAACCCCCACCCATATGGGATAAGTGCATCAATAGAAGCAGATATAAACTGAGAACAGAGAGAGCAATCAGAGCTGCCATGTACGTTGGTGCAAGTTGCTAACTGCGTAAGGGTCCCTGCCTGGGAGGCCATTGGGATCTGGAATTCAACCCTCACCTGATCGCAAAGCTGTGCCACCTGGCAAGGAGCCACTGCCTGGAAGAAGGGGCACGGTTTTCAAAGTCACCTGCTCTCCGTGAGCCTGGCCACAGGGGCCTCCTTTTCTGATTCTCACAAAGGCACAGACAGGGGCGAGCTGCAGCCCTTGGGGAGCTAGGTGACTCTCCTTGGAGAAAAGGCTCCTGCGTGGAGCCCAGGACGCCTTGGCTTCCGTGGGCACTGACTCACCTCTGTTCTCCCACAAGTAAAAATTCCCCGGAGGTGCCCTGTGTGTTAACTGGGGGGCAAGACTTTTCTGGGAAACAATGTCAATACTCTTGCAGAAGCCTAGTATGGATTATAATGCTTGTCAAGTGGAAAACGTATTTGCCACTCTTCTGCTCACTCTGCCCTGGTTCCTCAAGCCATGCCGTGAAGAGCCTGCCTCGTTCTCTTGTTCTCAGAACACCTCGGATACAGACACTCCCCCAGGCTGAAAGGTCATTGTGGTCTCAGTGGACAGAGATTAAGGTGGACTCAGAGGTGGGGTTATGTCTCCTCCATCTGGTCTATAAAATCTGGGTGGTTAGCACTTGTTGATGTTTGAAATGGAACAGTCAGGCCTTTCCTCAGGGCCTATCAGAGGACCAGGAAACCGTATTCATTTGCCAAGGTTGCTGTAACGCAATACCGCAAACCAGGTGGCTTTGGCGACAGACAGGTATTGTCTCACAGTTCTGGAGTCTACAAGTCCGAGATCAAGGCGTTGGCAGGGTTGGTTCCTCTAAGGGTTGTGGGGAGAATGTGCTCCAGGCCTCTCCCAGCTTCAGGAGGTTTGCTGGCCATCTTTGGGGTTCCTTGCCTTGTAGACGCGTCACCCCAATCTGCCTTTGTGTTCACATGGCGTTCTCCCTGTGTGCGTGTCTGTGTCCAATCTCCCCCTTTTATAAGGACCCCGTCACATTGGATTAGGGCCACTCCAGTGACCTGACCCTAACTGATGACAGCAGCAACGCCCCTATCTCCTAATAAGGTCACATTCTGAGGTACCGGGGGTTTGGACTTTAGCAGGGCACAATTCATCCCATAACAGTAAGATCCGCAAAAAAGATAGCCCTGAAAGCCTCATCTTCTACCCATTACCATGGTGACAGGAGGAGTTGATGGAGGGGGAACAGGGGAAGTTCAACTCCTAAAAGCTACAGGAAAGCTTTTCTTTCTGTGTCAGGTTTGTATCAGGACCCTGTCTGATCCCCTGGTCACCGATACAATCTCTAAGACAGCAAACAAGCCAGACGGTCTCTTATTTGTGTGTCCCCAAAGGACACAAAGGAGACGGAGGCTTCAAGTGCCAAAACAGACCCGCACTATGTCAGTGCGAGAAGCTCAGGTCTTTAAAAGGCCTGGCAGACCCTCAGCGTGAGCCGTCACAGACCTTGCAGGAGGTCGCCCCTTCGGCTTGGGAAATTATAAGTTTTCTTATCATCATTATGAAGGTCTCCTTAAAATTAACAATAGCTCAAATGCTTGTTTTAGTCGATGTATTTTGCTTGCAGAAATGTCATGGTTCTGGCTAAAAATCACAGTGTTTGTTCCTCGAGCGCCGTGGCCAGACTGGCTCTCGAGCTGAGTCATGGTATTTAAATCTGTTGTGTATAAAAGTCCTCCAGAATCCCAGTTCGGGGCTGTGATGAGACAGGTGGGAAACAGCCCTCCAGTGGCCCGTGAAATCTTCATGGGCAAAATGCAGTGGAGCGGCTAAGCCAGCTGGTCAGAGCTTCACCCTGCAGACCAGGGGTCCTTCATGGCTGCTTCAGGGAATCTGTGGTCCCCTAAAACTGAAAACTGCAAAACGTATGTATTTCGCTAGGGAGACGGTCCCCATCTTTCCCGGAGACCCAAAGGAATCTATACAGAAACCAGCTAAGAACTACTGCCCTAAAAACTCCCATCCTCTTGATGTCTTTCTGGTAAAACAGTGAATTCCGTTTTCTTCTAAAGATAGAAGCTCAGCACGAAATTTAAGTTTGCTAGCAATGGGAACGAGGCCTTTAAACTTGACAATGGTTAATCTCCCAATCTGGACCTTGAATCTCCTGTCAAGGTTGTGTATGTGGATTTATAATTTGGTCTAAGGCTATGTTCTTGTGGGCACAGAATGGCACATGATGTGGTCCCCTATGGCCTGGGGTCTCTGATGGGTCTCCAGTAATAGAAATGGAGTCCATGGACTTGATCCCAAGACTGTTAGGGATGTAAGAACTTTCTGCCAGAAGTTTGTCTCTGTAGAGGGTTTGTGTCGACATCAGCCAGAGCTGAGTGGCAGACAACTGCTACTTGGCCAAAGGATTCACAATGTTTATAATAGGACAGAAGCTAGTCCAACTCTCTCTCTCTCTTTCTCATTCTCCCCATTGTCTGACTCCTCTCCACCACTCTACCCTGTTATATATATGGATATTATCATATATATATAATTTGTACCTGGATAACTTTCATGGTACCTAGTACGGAAAGTTCTCAGTCTGTGTTACAAAAAGGACAGCCAGATAGCAACTTTTACAGAAATGAATTAAGAAATGTTAGCAAACTGTTTAAACTATTTTCTTAAATAGATTTCCTTCACAGCCAGAGATCTTCAACAGTCTCCCCGTGAGACATCAATTCTTCACTAACTGATGGGTTTGGCTTTTAATTTGGGGAGAGAAGCCTCTTTTTCTCTACTTGCTTGCACTTTTTGCTTTAATGTCTTCCAGAAAGCTGGGCCATTTTGCTGCACGTGTAGAGCACCCTGGGAAGATCTCCACGTCGCTGTGTGCTGTGAGTGTCTCTCTCGGCCCATCTCTCTCCTTGTATTTGACAGGCTGGCTACCATGTTACGCTCGTTACCCTGCAGGCCTGGGCAGTGTCTGCCCAAATATGCTCACTGTTTGGAAAGCATCTGTGTGATGTAACCCAGAGGAAGGCTAAGGAAATCCCCCTCCCCAGCCAAGCCCTATGCAAGGGCGTTAGGGTCAGAGTGTCTCCCTTATTGGCCATAGTCATCACCAGTGTTATTAACCTGAGTCAGAGAAGGTCCTCACAACTCCTACTTTTTGGGCAGTGGGGGAATTTCAGGGCCATGCTCGGTCAGGAAGTGAGGAGTCTACACCCTTGACTTGTCCTGACAGGTGCAGGAGGGGTTGGCACAACATGTCCATGGACAAGAAAGTCCAGGCTGTGGGCTCCCCCTGCCACTGCCAGTCTTGGGTGATTGGGGCCATGGAGGTATGGCGGGATCTGTGGTTGGGAGGTGGGCTCAGGCCCCTGAGCCCCTAGAGAAAAGACGCATGTGGTTTAGATGAAGGTCTGAGGGAAAATTTGGCCATGAGGTGTGCTGGCATCAGGACTGGCGGGGAGGAGAGGTGGCCATGACTTGGGGGCAGTGTGGAGAAGCCCTGGATCCTGGGGTTGCTCCCTTGTCGGGGGATGGGTAGCCCTGGGGAGTCACAGTGTTCGTGCAAGACCTCTCCTCTTTCTCACATGGACAAGTCCTTGAGTGTTTGGGGCCCTTGCAGTATCCAAGACAGGTCTCAGGAAGCAGGCCCACCTGTGCTGAGGTGGGCGGAGGGGACTGAGGGGCACATGGAGGCAGGTGAGAGGGAGCCATCACAGAAGCAGAACAGGACTGAGATAGCCCAGCGCCTGGGAGCGCAGGTGACCCTACGCTTCGGACGGGCAGAGGCAGCCAAGTCAGTTCAGTCCCGATGGAGCCAAGTCCAGGGCCCAAGAGACAGTCAGGGGAGACCGACCCCCAGCGGGCCGTGGGATTGCTGAGGCCTTGAGTCTGATCTTTTATCCTGAGCAGCCTGGGCTTCCTGCTGGCTCCAGCACTGCTATCCAGCCTGACATCCAGCTGCACTGGAGCAGCTCGACTTCCTGGGAGGACCAATGTTTCAGATTCAGGTGGAACCAGAATCTGGTGGGTTTGAAATTAACTCAGCCTCTTTGTCCTCATTGAGCTCTGCCCACTTGGGCCTAGAGTGGGTAGTCGGGGTCTTGCAAGGAGACCCCCACATCTTCTTCTGTAGTCAGTCACCGACTGGGTCCAGTAGAGGGGCTCTTGACCAGGGTGTGCAGTCAACAGTGCAGGCTGTCACTGCCCAGCCCAGGGATGCCACTCACCTGGACTCTGATGTGAGGGAGGGTTGAACATCCTTGGAGCAGAGCGCCTCGCTACCTGCTCCTGACAGCAGTAAAGAAACAAAGCTGATGCATAGGAAGACTCTGACTCAGAGTTAGCCAGCTTACTTTCCTGTAGACTCAGGACCAAAAAAGAGAGGTATTTTCTGCTTCTTCCTCTTCAGAGGGCAGTTGGACTTTTTGTCCTGAAAATTGAAGCATTTCTAGCCCCAGAGGAGAGTTGAGTGTTTTGTTTTTAAAAGCCTAGACTCATAAAATAATCATAACACAGGAGGTTTGGGATAGAGGAAGACTGATGGATGGACTCCAAAGAATAGCAAGGATGGAGGAGCCCAGGTGGGGACAGGTGTTCCCATGGTACCAGAGACCCACCCCTAAAGGGGCCAGGACCTCAGGCTGGGGAAGGGATGAGTGGATGTGTGTGTGCAGAGACTCCCTCTGAGAGGTACAGCTCTGGAAGGACAGCGAGGGAGGAGGGAGTCTGTAATACAAAGCCTGTATTAGTCAGAGTTCTCCAGAGAAACAAAACCAATAGGAGATATGTATATATATATGTATAGAATTATTATAAGGAATTGGCTCACATGATTATAGAGGCTGAGAAATCTCAAGATCTGAAGTCACCAGGCTGAAGACCCAGTATAGCCAATGGTGCACTTCCAGTCTGAGGGCAGGAGAAGACGGATGTCCCAGCCATCTGCACCCACGTGAGGAGGGTGAGGGGGTGTCTGATCCCTAAAGAATGAAAGACTAGCCTTGGAGGCTGCATGTGTGTCACGCAGAAGCAGTAGCAAAACGGGGACCCAAGATTCAAGAATTGGTGTCCTCTCTTGGGATACTAATAAGTCCTGGGGTCATTGTTTAATCCACTTGAGGGAGGGGACCCTGGAAATTGACTCATAGCGAGGTTCATACACCTCCATAAGTGAGAGCTTGAACTGGATGTAGTATGACCTAGGAAGTAAAGAAAGGTGGCATTTCTTGTACTTGAATGTTGAAGTGCACATTACCACCCAATACAGACCTTTAGGAGCCCTGTCGGTCTAAGGGACAACAGTGATGCAGGATTCAGCTGATGACTAGTTGTCTCTGCAGCTGTTACCTAAGTGAGGGGTTGAACTTTAAAGAAAGTGAGATGTGGGGGCTTTTTCCCACACCAACAAGCAATTCTGTGACACCAGCTAGGCGTCCTACCATTCAACTCAATTCTGACGCTATCTACCTGGAGATAGTGTCAGATCCCACAGGTTACACACTGAGTCCCACAAGATTTCCCCCACTTCAGATGTCAATCACAAGTCTAGGTGGTTACCTGTACTTCTGACCAACTGGCTATAAATCAGAGGTTCCCATGACCCCTCCTTGGTTTCCATTAATTTGCAGAGTGTCTCACGGGACTCAGGAACC